GATATCCCCCCAACCCACTGATAAATAGACAAGAAGGTTTGGGACAAGATCCTGGTGGATGCGAATTCGTGTCAACCGCCAGCGATTTTATATTTTTCTTCTTCTTTCATATCTCCACTCAATCATATTAGGGTATCAAATTGTGAACCTTAATGGTGTCTGTTTGACAACCATCATGACTGGGTGAAGTAGAATGCGTCTGCCTTTGTCATTAAGACTGGGAGCACTACTCAGTGGCAGGCTGACTTAGCTCCAAAAGAAATGGCCGCCTCTGACATGAGGAACAAACGCCATGTACAGCCGCTCCTAACATGGAGTACAAACGCTGCTCATCCTGTATCCCAGGATTAGGAGCCCTTACAGGGTACTATCAACCAGGCCAGCTGAGCCCAGGTTTTTTAGTGAACTTGTTACTGCTCCTCCTCCTATTTTATATTTATATTTAATTCTGAAAATCGAGGAAGCGAATTCGCATCCTTCGGACTTGAGGCAAAATGGCAAGAACGCACGTCCTTCGGATCGGAAGTGTTAAAATTATAAACACACTTGTTTCTCTGATAATTGACAATTAAACAACTTTATTGACATCTCGTCAATCTTTACACTCAAAGGGAGTTATAAGGTAATAATAGTGGTAGGAATGAAGAGAGATATTTACAATCGACGTAGCCCTCTCCGAGGGCACGTCCGGATCAGGACACTTGTCTCTCTGTTTCACGATAGACTCCTCAACTAATGAATCTGTATTTACCAATTTGCATACCTATTTTACTTTTGGAATAAATAAATAAAAGCTATTTTTTCTACAGAATTCTCTATTTTGTTTGAGAAATAATTGTTCCCACAGAGTATATGTATGTAAGATCATAAGAAAATAGGCGCTAACTGTAAGAAGATACGTTTCTCTTTGTTTACTCTGTTATAAGTTTTATTTTGTTCTCTCTCTTGTAAATCAATAATGTTTGATTAATCTTCTTGGAATTAGTTTCTTTGAAAATTCTAAGAAAGTCAACAAAAATAAACACTCCATTTAGGAAAGATCAATAAAGATAGAGTTGGTATTTCTTTAAAATAAAAACTGATGGAGAAAAACGGACGAAATTTCTAGATCCATTAGAAATAGAGTTATCAACCTTTTAAAAAGTTTGTCTGAAATTTCGTTCATTATCCATTAAATCAGGGATCAGTAAACTTTGTCTCACGAGCAACATGCGGCTTTTTGGATGTGAAGCTGCGGCTCTTTATATAGTTCCATATGTAAATATTATTTATGCGAGTACTATTTATTGTTACCAAGAAAATTTTCTGTGGCTCTTTAAAAACTTTGAAATTTTGTAAATTTTAACTTTTGACTCTTCCGACTCAAAAGTTTGCCGACCCCTTTCCTAGACTATTCCGTGTTTATTTTCTTGTCAACTTGTGTCGTATTAAAGAGATCGTAAATATTTAGTTCTGTGACACATCTTTATAGAGATGAGTATCTGTATCTGATTAATATCTGGGATATATGTAGATTAGTCTGTATATGCAAATCAATTTCAACATCCAAATGATAATTTATTGTATTCAATAAATGTCACAAACTTCAATAAAATCTTCTGCAGTCCAAACAACATAATTTTGTAAATTGTAAAATTTGTGATTCTTCTGATTCAAAAGATTGCTGACCTTTGCACTAAACTAAATCTATCCACTTTAAAAAGGATGATAATAGGTTGAAGAACATCAGGATAATAAGCAAATTTTTAAGTTTGATCAATTTACATATTTAAATTATCATACTCCAACACCTATACAATCGTGGTTTTCTATAAAAGTTAGGAAGAATAATTCATCACTATTATACTAAAAGAATGAAACAATAAGAAAATGATTAATGGCATCAAGTCCATTTTGAAATGCTTAGTTAATTATATGAACAGAGAATACTGTTGCAAATATTATATATACAGAATAACTTTTAACACCTTGCCAAATGTTTTAAATTTTGTTTGCTTCTGACGAGGACATTTTTGTCGAAACGTTTAGATAATAAAAAGATTTACTGACCGAAGTATCTTTAATTTTAAGAACTATGAATTCCGGCCAGGCAGCCTCTATCTTTATGGTTATATATACACTCATGGACAAAATTTAAGGAAGTGGAAAGTCGTCGATGTCGTCGCAAGTCATCTATTTTTTTTTTCTTTTTAAGGAGATAGAGGCAAATTTGTGTACACTTTGTTATCTCGCATGTCTTCAATAAAGGTTACTGTAATATCTTTCAGAGTTATTGTCTGAATCCCGATATACATGCTAAATGGTACAACTTCCTTCAGTTTTGCTCATGAGTGTATCTTTCAGAGTTATTTTCTGAATCGCGATATACATGTTAAAAGGTACAACTTACTTAAGTGTTGTCCATGAGTGTATCTTTCAGAGTTATTGTCTGAAACCCGATATACATGCTAGAAGATACAACTTCCTTAAGTTTTTCCCATCAGTGTTCCTTTCAGAGTTATTGTCTGAAACCCGATATACATGCTAAAAGGTACAACTTCCTTAAGTTTTGTCCATGAGTGTATTTATGTTTTGGACGAAATTAGTCACGCAGAAGTTACCCAAGAAGTGGAAAACACAGACGCCTGGCCCTGACTTCGTTTGTAGATGTAAATCAGGGCAGTTAGGGAGGTGTTTGTTAGGATTGGCCTTGTCACCAAGGGCAGCTGGAAGGACTAAAGTTGGGTCACAGAGGATGGCATGTGAGCTACATAGTCACTTCTCACAGGAGAAATATCCACTACTGGAAATAGAAAGTATGTGTGTTACACCTAGTAGTTGTCCAAATTTTCACAACGCACAGTTAATTACAAATCATAGTAATTTTGGAGAATTTCTGGCGAAAATCGGAACAACGGATGATCCTAGCTGCTTCTGTGGAAAAGAAAACCAAGAATCAATTCCATTTATCTTTTCCGTTTATCATTACTCTTCACAATTTATCCTTTCATACTTCATCCCTAAGGTTAGAAATAATCGTTATTTCTCCTTAAAATAAATTTCGATTTTTCGTTCAAAAGAAACACATGCGGGATAATTTTCAAATGTCGTTCTACAATCATAAGCCGCATTACATTGTATTATTCAATACATTTATTGATAAAATGTCCATTCTTTCAAAGCTACCAAAGTAATCATCGTTATTCAATCGAAGAAATGTGCGAATTTGTATATAACAAAGACACCTATGTAAAATTCAATAGTTTTTGTAAATTCATTTTAGATTTTCTTTTCTCTTTGATAAAAACCAACCTTTTAGTTTTGATTTTGCTTTTAGTATCGTTTATTGAATTATATATAATGAATTGTATATAAGCTGCTAAAATAAGCGCAAGTATCTCAAGCTGGGATAGCGCGTCTGATATGTCAAATAAATAAAATAGAAGTTGAAGAACAAATTGAAATTTGACTCAAATTAAATTCTTGTAACGTGTAATGAATGTTGTAAAGATAGAGGCCTCCTGGCCGACATTCATATTTCTTCAAATTAAAGATACTTCGGCCAGTAAATCTTTTGTCCTCGTCAGGAGAAAACAAAAATTAAAACATTTAGCAAGGCGTTGAGAATCATTTTAAGACTCCAAGGCGATATTATTCTCACGCGATATTAAAAATTTTGTACAACATATAAAGCACGAGTCAAAAATAAATATTTAACTCACAAAAGAGTATTATATTTGAAATAATTATAATATAGACATTTTGTTTTTAAAAATTTAGTTTGTAATAGTTTACATTTTTAGTATAAAAGTGTATTGCTATTCCACCAGTTTCTTTTTTTGAGTATAAATATATTTTCTTTTGGGAAAAAATATATATTCAGTGCGTCTTTATCCAGACCTCGCCTGAAGACCCAGCTCTGTAGGTCTGGCTGTATGATGGTAAATCGAGAATAAGACTCTCTATATGAATTTCTAATCTTTTCATTTTTTTCTATTAAAAATAAAAAGGCATATCAAAATTCGAAACTATTATAGACGCGTATGGTTCTTTTAAAAATAAAACAATTTCTACTTCCCTTACTGCAATGGAAAAAATTAATGGAAGGGCCTGGCTAATCAGTGGTGAACCCTCCCAGCGGTTTTGCTAGTTTAATCTACCATACCGCTGTTATATTGCATTTTTCGATTAATATAACAGCGGTATGGTAGATTAAACTGGCGAAACCGCTGGGAGGGTTCATCACTGATGAGCCAGACCCTCCCATTAATTTTTCCATTGCAGTAAGGACAGTAGAAATTGTTTATTTTAAAAAGAATCATACGCGTCTATGATAGTTTCGAATTTTGATAACAGATGACGCGCTAATGCATCATAAAAAAAAAGGCATATCCTGACCATGAGCACATGTACTTTTTAGATGACAGAACGCCATCTAGTGGTACAGAAATCAACTAAACATTGATTTAACCATTTCTATGCAACTTATTTATTATAATTCAATAAAATAATTCCTTGTATCAATATTAATTAAAATTAATCATTCCTCCAGGGAAAAGTGTCTTTTCAAAACATTTTATGTAACATTTTATATTTATAGAATTTTATAAAATTATATAGTATCCGATTATATTTAACTCGTGTTCTATTGCCGAATTATTATACCAGGTTTTCTCCTGTAGAAGGGCGTCCGTGCCTGAAAGCTAGAGAATAAAAATGTTTTGAAAAGATACTTTTCCCTCGAGGCTTGATTAATTTTACTCATTATTTATTATAATATGAAAAAAAAAGAGAGTACAAATGTTATATTGTACTGGGATAAGGTTTATATTACAATATAATACGACCTGTGATTGTAAAACGACATTTGAAAACCATCCCGCATGTGTTTCTTTTCAACGAAAAATCAAAATTTATTTTAAAGAGAAATAACGATTATTTCCAACCTTAGGAATGAAGTATGAAAGGATGAATTGTGAAGAGTAATGATAAACGGAAATATTTACAAATGGAAAAATATGTCCAGGGTAGCCATCATGGCATCTGCCCCGTAAGCAGAACACTGTGGGTTCGATTCCCATCCCTGGACACTTTTATTTTTTCCGTTTATCATTACTCTTCATAATTCATCCTTTCATACTTCATCCCTAAGGTTGGAAATAATCGTTATTTCTCCTTAAAATAAATTTTGATTTTTCGTTGAAAAGAAACACATAAGGTTTATAAATTAAGAAAAAAGACATCTCCTTATTGTGTAATTTCAGTTGTACAATAAAATGCTCTTTTTTCTTTCCTTTATTCTAGTTTAGTAGATCAAATAAAACAAATATATACTTACCAACATTTTCTGACGTTATGCCCAAATGATATCTGAAACAAACAACGTAAAAATAAACTTAAATATATACATTATATATATATATATCTCTATTTTTCTATATATAAAAGTCAATTTCTGTCTGTCTGTCTGTTTCGCGATAAACTCAAAAACTACTGAACCAATTGGTACCAAATTTTGCATGTCGCTTTTTATAAACCTGAGGAAAATTTTCGGCTGCATTTTGATTAGTATTTTTGGCTATTTCTTTTTTTCATTTGAAGAACTTTTTTTACGCGGACTAATCCGGAATGGAATGAATACCTAAATATGGCCATTTTTTTAAAGCATCGGTGGTTCAGTGGTAGAATGCTCGCCTGCCACGCGGGCGGCCAGGGTTCGATTCCCGGCCGATGCATTTTTTAAAAACAATTTTTAAAACTCATTTATATTATATCTTCTATATATATAAAAATGAATGTTTGTTTGTTTGTTTGTTGGTTTGTATGTCCGGTATACAAATTCGCAGTAGTTCACTAATTCAAACCAAAATTTCCATACATAGGTAAAAGAATACGGGGAAGACGATAGGCTATTTTAAAAATATATATAAATCAATTATTAAATCATATATTATTAGTCAGAAAATGATGATGACGATATTGCTGTATCATGTAAGATTATCAGATACAAAATTATATCGGGAAAAATTCCAAAAAGCAGAGACCACGGGTGAAACCAGCTCATTATTTTGTACGGCAGGAACAAAATTCTAACAGAAAAACATTCATTCGAGCAGAAAACAAAAGCCAGATCATCTTTCTATAAAAATATCGCTTCTCAGACACAAAGTTTGGAGCGGGACGTTTCACAAGAGTGACATCCACGCCGCCAATTTATAATTGTAACGAATAGTATTTGAATAGGGTACATTTAATCGGGTAAAACCCGGGCGTTGCTCGGGTCATTCGGCTATTATATATATATATAAGCAATGGTCGCCTCTCCCGTCAAAATAAACGTCAGAATCTGACGCCATCTATTGACCGTCGCCGCAACTAGCGGCATCGGGTCGGTGACAAAGCCACAACACCAACTTTGGCAAACTGATAAGCGTCCACCTAGAGACCATGGTTTCGGGCTAATGGCCCTCGTCAGTCTAGGGCGGACTTTATTCCATAAGATCCACACGGGATCTAATGGAATCCTCACAATCTACCAAAGAGGTGTTTTGCCAATAGATTTGGCCCAGCCACATTGCCAGCAAAACACCTCTTTGGTAGATTGTGAGGATTCCATTAGATCCCGTGTGGATCTCATGGAATAAAGTCCGCCCTAGACTGACGAGGGCCATTAGCCCGAAACCATGGTCTCTAGGTGGACGCTTATCAGTTTGCCAAAGTTGGTGTTGTGGCTTTGTCACCGACCCGATGCCGCTAGTTGCGGCGACGGTCAATAGATGGCGTCAGATTCTGACGTTTATTTTGACGGGAGAGGCGACCATTGCTTATATGGATTAATTTCCTCCCGGCAAATTTTCCATCTCTCTCTATATATATATATAATTATAAATATAAAATAGGCGTTATTGTTAATTTTCAAAATATTCTCACCTATATTTTACAAAAAAATATTTTGTCCATAATAAAAATATATATACCAATTTTTTTCTCCCCATTGAATATAACAAAATATTTTTAAAACTTAATTCTGTTGACGTTATGTGGCGTTGAGTTTATTGTTGACACACTTTAAAATGTTATAACACCTTGATAAAAGTTGGCGTTCAGCCAACTGAAATATTGGTAAAATAAATTATATTTTGATCCAATATATGGCTTTTAAAAAAGAATTTTATAGCATATTCAATGATATTATTGAAATTATTATTAAAAAAAACTGCTGAAAAAAGTTAATGTAACACATCATTTAAAGTATATATGACATAATAAAAATATGATTTTTATTATATTCATAAAATAATTAAAATTCTATAATCACAGAGTTAAATTTTAAAATGAAAAGGAATCCTTAACAAAAGGAATACAACCCAATATTATTTTTGTTTGTAAATCGATAATAACATCGTTAGTTGTATGTATGCAAAAACTGTTTGCTTTAAGAAAATAATCAAAATAATAAATATTTTTTGGGACAAAAGTTATCATTCATTTTTACCATCCACGACTGCATGAATTGGTAACGTAAATAGAATATACGTCCTTTTTTTATGACATATATATATTTTAATTTTCCTCTTTTAAATATACAGTTAAACCTGTCTATAGCACCCCCTCTCTATAGCACCCTATTTTGGTGAGTCCCAAGAGGAGGCGCTATAGACAGGTTTAACTGTATAACTATACATATTTTCAACCTTAAATAGAATACTAGCATAGATTTAATGGATAGCCATTCTTAGAATAATATGTGAATAAAATTGTTAAAAATAGAAAAATGGCCAAGTGTTGATATTAAAAATATAAAAAGACATATCCTGACCGCTTACATAAACATTTTTAGATGGCAGAGCGCCATCTAGTGGAACAAAACTAAACTAAATGTTTATATAACTTGTTTCATAATATTTAGCCAACCCAATTTCTTGATAAATCAAGAAAAGCTAATCACGTACGCGTTTCGGGCGTATACACTCATGGACAAAACTTAAGGAAGTTGTACCTTATAGCATGTATAGCGGGATTGAGACAATAACTCTGAAAGATACACTCATGGACAAAACTTAAGGAAGTTGTACCTTATAGCATGTATAGCGGGATTCAGACAATAACTCTGAAAGATACACTCATGGACAAAACTTAAGGAAGTTGTACCTTATAGCATGTATAGCGGGATTCACACAATAACTCTGAAAGATACACTCATGGACAAAACTTAAGGAAGTTGTACCTTTTGGCATGTATAGCGGGATTCAGACAATAACTCTTAAAGATACACTCATGAACAAAACTTAAGGAAGTTGTACCTTTTGGCATGTATAGCGGGATTCAGACAATAACTCTGAAAGATACACTCATGGACAAAACTTAAGGAAGTTGTACCTTTTGGCATGTATAGCGGGATTCAGACAATAACTCTGAAAGATACACTCATGGACAAAACTTAAGGAAGTTGTACCTTTTGGCATGTATAGCGGGATTCAGACAATAACTCTGTAAGATACACTCATGAACAAAACTTAAGGAAGTTGTACCTTTTGGCATGTATAGCGGGATTCAGACAATAACTCTGAAAGATACACTCATGGACAAAACTTAAGGAAGTTGTACCTTTTGGCATGTATAGCGGGATTCAGACAATAACTCTGAAAGATACACTCATGGACAAAACTTAAGGAAGTTGTACCTTTTGGCATGTATAGCGGGATTCAGACAATAACTCTGTAAGATACACTCATGGACAAAACTTAAGGAAGTTGTACCTTTTGGCATGTATAGCGGGATTCAGACAATAACTCTGAAAGATACACTCATGGACAAAACTTAAGGAAGTTGTACCTTTTAGCATGTATAGCGGGATTCAGACAATAACTCTGAAAGATACACTCATGGACAAAACTTAAGGAAGTTGTACCTTTTGGCATGTATAGCGGGATTCAGACAATAACTTTGAAAGATACACTCATGGACAAAACTTAAGGAAGTTGTACCTTTTGGCATGTATAGCGGGATTCAGACAATAACTCTGAAAGATACACTCATGGACAAAACTTAAGGAAGTTGTACCTTTTGGCATGTATAGCGGGATTCAGACAATAACTTTGAAAGATACACTCATGGACAAAACTTAAGGAAGTTGTACCTTTTGGCATGTATAGCGGGATTCAGACAATAACTTTGAAAGATACACTCATGGACAAAACTTAAGGAAGTTGTACCTTTTGGCATGTATAGCGGGATTCAGACAATAACTCTGAAAGATACACTCATGGACAAAACTTAAGGAAGTTGTACCTTTTGGCATGTATATCGGGATTCAGACAATAACTCTGAAAGATACACTCATGGACAAAACTTAAGGAAGTTGTACCTTTTGGCATGTATAGCGGGATTCAGACAATAACTCTGAAAGATACACTCATGGACAAAACTTAAGGAAGTTGTACCTTTTGGCATGTATAGCGGGATTCAGACAATAACTCTGAAAGATACACTCATGGACAAAACTTAAGGAAGTTGTACCTTTTGGCATGTATAGCGGGATTCAGACAATAACTCTGAAAGATACACTCATGGACAAAACTTAAAGAAGTTGTACCTTATAGCAGGTATATCGGGATTCAGACAATAACTCTGAAAGATACACTCATGGACAAAACTTAAAGAAGTTGTACCTTATAGCAGGTATATCGGGATTCAGACAATAACTCTGAAAGATACACTCATGGACAAAACTTAAGGAAGTTGTACCTTTTGGCATGTATATCGGGATTCAGACAATAACTCTGAAAGATACACTCATGGACAAAACTTAAGGAAGTTGTACCTTTTGGCATGTATATCGGGATTCAGACAATAACTCGGAAATATATTTAATACACAATGACCTTTAGTGAAGACAACAGAGATAACCAAGTGTAAACCAAATTGCCTGTGTCTCTATTAAAAATGGCATATCCTGACTATTTAATATATATATATATATTTTTTTTTTTTTTTGAAAATAGAGCAATCCATACTTAATTCATTAGATAAAAAAGGCATATATTGGATTTAATAAAATATTTATTTTGCCAATATTTCGGCTGGCCG